GCTTTAGTTTTGGTTCTTAATTTGATAGGCTTCTTAAAATCTTTTCAGGTAGGTCAAAAAGATGTGTAAGGATTATAAACGGCGCCCAAAACTAAGCAGAAGAGGTGGCTAACCCCCTGGTTTAAGAAAATTATTAAGTACTACAGTTTTCTATTCCTACTTTCCTTAACTTTTTATATATATATATGAGCTAAAGTTACAGGTAATATAATTTCATGACAACATTGAAAAAATTGTTTTAGGTAGTATAAATTTCTACCCGATCTATAAAGAAATAAAAATAAATAATACAAATTTTATAGGAATTTTGTAAAATTCTGTAGTTAAACAGTTGTAACATGTGATACAAATCAGTACGTTACATAATCGTAAATTTTCAATTATTTTTAATTTTACGATTCTATAAAATGCAAGAAATTACTGCTTACTATATGTTTAAAGTGCGTGTAATAACTACCTTATTTTATTTGCATGCACATGGATCATTATGCTTTAATTTCCTTATTATATTATTTCATTATTTACACATTTATTAAATTTTATGGCATAATTAAATTTTTATTTAATGCACTAAAAATCATATTACTATTTATTTGATACGGAAAATTATTGAACAGTAAAAATCGAAACAAATGACTACTATTTAGTAACTAAAATGTTAGAAAAAACGAAAAAGTTCTTAATAAGATTGTAATGTTTGTAAACGTAGACAAAATTTGTTCATATGTAATCTAACACCGATAATTTTTTCATAGATAAAAGTAATAAAAATTACTAAATCTTACCCCTCAAATCCTTCTTTTAACTAGTTTAAAAAACGCACCAATTAGATACTTGTTAATCTGTAGTCATTTTTGGAACACACTCAATTTAAGAATTATGAAGAAAAATCGTAATCACGTGTCCGTAATATCAAAAAAGTGCAAGTCTATTAACGTCACGTCGACCAGCACCTAATCACTGTAATAACTAAACAAAATAATTATTCTACTGTTGTTGTTGTTAGTGGTGTTGTTATTAACAATGAAACTAACCGGCTACATAGTATGGAAGATAACCTTCAAGGTATACATTTCCCTTACTACTTTTGACTTTGGTCCTCGATTATGTACACACCATGTACACACCGTAATGGAGATGTTCCGCTATAAACATTGCTAAATTAAGTCCAAATGCTTGTGTATCATTACTTATTTATTATTTATCGTAAATATGTACATACGTAAATGCACGTCGGTGGTACCTGTCGGTATTAAGTACATAAAATGACCAACAATTAATTCTACCCTAGCATGTGAGGTAAAGTTGAAAAAAAAATTTCCAGGAAAACTATAAATTATATTCCTAACTTTTTCGACATATACCAAACACTCTGAAATTTTGACTTTTAGGCAAACTTCAGGTCTACCATGAAAGCAATTAACTTTACGTAAGGGGCTGCAAATTATGCACAATATTATTCACAAGTTTTGATCTTAAACAAGTCTAACTACACACTACAAATAAGTAGTTTATTATAAAACAGAAAAACTTATATACAGTTCTACATACACAGCTAAGAAAGTTTACGCTATACAGCCGTTTAGCATAATCAATATGCTGTTCAGATTATGCGGGGTTTGCGTTCACACTAGCGGGATTCTACTGCACCTATACGCTTTTTCAAAATATCTCCAGTGCGTCACATGACTAGGTTTTTCGTCATTTTTCTCGTAAGATAGAACTGAACACGTTTATGGATACTTAATAAAGCACAAAAAGTGTTGTTCACAATGTACTAGTTTTTACCAGCAGCTTGACTTGCGTTGATGTCCTAAATACGTGTCAAAAATCATGGACGACCATATGAAACTAATTTTTCTATCCCTTCGGAACAGAATTTTTTTTTCTGGACAGAAGGTACTTCATGTATTTTTCTGTACATATGAAAAAGTGTATACAAAATTTCATGATAGGTTTTACCCGCGGCTTCGCTCACTTTGATGTTCTAAATACTTGTCACAGATCATCGACGATCATATTATAATCATCATAAGGACGTCAGTACTACGACTCGTTGGACACGCACCTTCACACTTTCATATCCTGAGCTAATCTTCGCATTTCCCCAAAACTAGAACAACCCACATCCTTAACTTTTTGCGAACAGTAATCTAGTCTAGGTCTATGTCTACTTCTCTTAACTCTTGTTTATGCCTCTAATATGCCTCTGACTAAACCTTCATGCCTGAGAAGGTGTCGTACCAACCTATCTCGCCTACTTCTTATTGACTTCTATAGGGTAGTCTGTTCTCCTATTCCTTCTAATACCTCTTCATTTCTAATTTTCTCTATCCACGGTATCTTCATTATTCAATACTGTTTTGTCAATACCGCTATCTCTAATTCCTGCTTGCTAGATGCTAATACTGCTAAGCATACCAATCTTTTGCCCCTGTATACCTAACCCTACAGTTGTACTCTCTTTAATGATGTTGATCGCGTCTTCGATGTATAGATTAACAAGTAGCGGTAACAATGTGCATCCTTAACTGACTCACTTCCTAATATTTATTTCTCTACGTTGCAGCCCTACCTCTATAACTGCCTGTTGCTCTTTATACAAACTGAGTATCACTCTTCTATCTTTGTAACTCATCCCTACATTTTTAAGTATCTTGTCCCATTTAAAATCGTCAATAGCGTTTTCTAAATCTACAAATGTTATGTACTCACACTTTCCTTTTTTACCGTTATCTCAAAAAACTGTAAAGCTAGAATGGCCTCCCGCGTTCCCCTATTTCTTCTAAACCCAAATTAATCTTCCCCTAATAGTTCTTCCGCCCTTTTTCCACTTTCCTCTGCANGATTAAAAAGAAGTTTCATTAAAAAATTAATTATCGCAAAGGCTTTTATATCCAAGTAATTAATATACATTTGTTTTCTTATTACAAAGGAAATATAAAACTGCTACAGTATATTTATGAAGTGATTACTACTTAGCTATTTGATCTGTTGTAAATAACAATAAGTTCATAATATTGTCTGTTGCCGATTAACCGCATAGGAATTTTGCTTAATTAAAATCATATGGTAAAAAGTGCAGTTAATCAATAGCAAGTCACTTGTTATTCGACAAGGTAGCAATGATTAAATAATTATAGAAAAAATGAGACACTTGTACAATAAAGTACTCATGTGAAGGTCAATCTTGAAAACCGGCACAAGGTTTTCATATGCGTACAAAGATGCAATAAAAACAATTACAATGAGATCGTGACCTGACTTCCTCTAAGTTAACTAAAAGGGTGTGCTTGCATCTTTAAACGTAAATAATTAATCACTTAATGCTTACAGATCGATAAAATTCAAAATTAATCACTCCTGCAAAAAAAACATTTATAAGGAGAATAAAAAGAACTAGAGGGAGACTCAAGCAAGTGGGAATGTAATTAGAACTGATTACGACGTAAAAAGGTTTATTATTAGAATAGAACCTACACCGACGTTTCGCTTGAAAAAAAACTCAAGCCAGAAACGAAACGTCGATGGTGTATGCAGGTTTTATTCTAATAAATCTTTTTAAGCCACTTATAGCTCTGATTATCTTCATGAAAAGGTTAGAACCAAAGAAAATGTTTCGAAATTTGTATACGCTACATGAACTTCCTTAAAGGCTCCTTTACCAGAGTATATGAGGTTTTAGTTTATATTTGTATGTACAGAATATCCCACGAAATAGTGCCATGTAGCACAAGGAATAAGGCTATGCACACACTGCAACTAAATTGTTCAACAACATTGTAGTCGTTCCAAGTAGCTTATGAGCGCATTAGTGAACTAAACTGTTTGGTGTTGCTTCTGTGCGCGAATACGAAGTAAACTGTTGTTTGAAAAAGAAATAATCTGCATCTGAGATAATATTAAAATGCATTTGATGCAAAAGAATAAAGCATAAGAATAGAAGATATTGGATTCATCCAATAACCAGTCAGCTATTACTACGGGGCCAGCCACTTTTAACTTCCATAGAATGAGCGTGGCAAACTCCTTGGCATTACAATCACTGTATTCTTTTTTACTTTTGTAGTACATGGCTGGCTTTCTTTAATTTTTTGGTAAAATCTGCTTCTTCATACATGATGTCCACCGCACGTCATTGTTATAATTAATAATTATTATTATCTTAAAACTACAAAAATATAAACTCAAAAACAGTTCTCTTATCGGGTCAGACATTGTTGTCCTATGCTGTAGGTCTATCGATCAACTGTTCGGTAGGGTACAAGTTATGACAAAACTCAACTGAAAAGTTTGTAAAGTGTTGTGTCGGTTAATGCTCTTGTATTCGTATGTTACCGCTAACTTTACATGGGCGACAAAACAGTCCCAATGCGCGTGTAGCCTAGGGTAGAAGATCTTAAAACATATTCAAGTTACTAGTGATAATTTGGCATATGCGGCATGCTTCTGCCTCGTATTATTTCGTGGGATATCCTGTAAATATTAGAATATAAAGGTAGTACTGTTAAATGAATCATTATAACGTAAAAAATGTTTATTCTTTTTGTTTTATACAATACACTGATTAGACACAAACCTACACCATAGTTGGATACGTTTCTTCTCTTTAAAGATAAACCAATTCCTTACCTTTTCTTATTCTACTCCAAACAGGTTCATGTTTAACAATTTGCGATATGACTTCATCGACTTCGGCATCTTTTTCAAAATCGGTAGACTTCCTTTTGTCTTTTCCATAAATGTCGAACTTAGGCTCCAAAGGTTTATCATTTAATTTGTGATAGCCATTCTGCTTCAGTCCGTATTGTCCACCAACAGTCACTTTATTATTCAAATCGGTCTGACTCAATCCATTTGTGTAACTATATCCATGGATCGTAGGCTTATCTTTCGACATGTGTCCGTCGTGGTATTCTTGGCTGATAACAGTGACAGGCTTCTTCTCAGATTCGATTTCGTACGAGTCGGATCCAATTTTGGTTTGGGAATATTTAGACTCTGTTTTGATAGATTCTTTGGTGTCCTTTTTCCTGGGTCCTGCCAAGTCTATAAGGAACAAGATGGCCGTCGCCAAAGAAAAGCAACCCAATATTGCTGCATTATCTACTAGATCGTGTGGAACTGAATCCAAGGCTGCGAATTCCAGACTACCTGTAATTAAATCAAATATGTAATGCCTAATAGATGCATATTTTTTTGTTACATCCTGTTTACAGTTCAATAAAGAAACAGAAGTGTAAACATAGATAGTACATACCCAGAATAACGAATAAAATAATTCCTATGCCCAGTAAAACGATTTCAGTGATTCTTCGTTTTGTGGGAAGTTCCCCGAAGAGCCTCCCCAAAAACAACCCTATTGTTATTATCAGAAATCCCCCGTAGGTTGCATCAGCTACCGCTGCTCCCACCCTATCCCATGTCACATTATTCAGTAAGCTCCATTCTCTGGATAATTTTTGAAGATAAAGGAATATTTTTGTTGCCTCGTGATCTGTCACCCCTTTTGTTATTAAACAGGCAATAACTAAACCCTATAATAAACATAATTTAAATTGAATGTAAAGAATATAATAGAACCAAGTTTCCAAACTCACGACTTCTATAAGTTTAAGAATTGTCCACCAGCCAAAATTAATACCCATCTTAAAGGATAATTAAAATGCATATCCTTTTAAAACCTGTCTCTGTAAAGAAGAAAAAGGATTAAGTAATCCTGGATGCTGTATTTCTAATGGGAATATACCAAAAAATAAATATTATTCCAATGTTTACTGTGCAATTACTATATCATTACAAACACGATAATTGTTATTCATACATGGAATCCCAATTATCAAGTGACCATCGGAATGTAAATAATAATATTTACGATTAAATTCAGTCATGCATCCAATTCCAAAACTGTATGCACGTTTATTTATGAAGATATTGAAACTTTCAGTAAGCAATGAAAAGTAAAACAAAAACTTGGATTTTCTACAGTTCGTTTTTTTCATAATAACATTGAATTTAAGAGAGAAAAAGATTTGGAGAAATTATGCTAGGTTTTCTTAGTTCTTTTTTATAATATAGACCAGAAAAGTGCTCGACACATAAATGACATGTCACCCTGAACCATTAATTGAAGTGATGTTCAGTTAACAATAAAGTAATTAAAAACTTTACATGTTTGGTCAGAATTTCAAAAGCAACTAACATTTTTTGTATAATTCATACATACTTTTAACCCTTTAAATTTTTTTCCAAGTAGAGTTTTTCTAATGGAAATAGAAGTCTGCAAATATGATTAGTTCCACAAAGAAAGAAAAAAATGCATGATGGAAATTCATTATTATACCAATTAAACACAAATTATAAATTGTATTGCTTGTAACTTAACATTTGTTGTGCATGTACTATTGCAGTATCAGAATTTAGCATGAAACATTTAACTACAATATGTGACATTTTTATAGTTAAAAATTCATTACTTACTACCTAAATTAATTCTTAATTAATTGAAATTCTTAAAGCTGTTGATTTTGAAAATTATCAGTTAAAGTTATATTTTATTATTAAATGTGTGAGAATGTCGTTGTTATCAGTATGTTGTGCTTATTTATATTCATTTATTCTTATATTAACATCACTACAAGTTTTTTTTGTATAAAACATATGCTGCTACTTTTGCATGAAATTTTCCAAATACTCGATTTAATTTTATGTATATCCTTGTTTTGTTTGTTGTTTTATATAAACTTCACCTCTTGATATCACCATAGAAATAATTGTGTCTTTAGGATACTATATCATCTTTTGAATATTTGAAAAAATATATTCAGTAAATAATGAAGAAATTCAAACAAGTTATTAGCATATTTAATTTATAATTTAGTTGCTTTCATTTTATAATTACTTTGTTTTCTGGGTGTTTATCAAAAGGAATTTTATTTGTTTACCATTTCTATCTTTTTTTTTTTGGAATTTATTAGTCCATCCTTTGAATAATAATAGACAAGTTCAAACAAGATATTAACTCACACGCTGCTTTAGTGTTGTTAATGCTATCATTAAAGAAAAAAGTTTATGATATCATATAAAAAGTTAATTACGAATGCGCCCATTATGTCATTTCACTTGTAACACGAGTAGCTGGAAGGTAATAAAGAAATTCTGTACGGCCCATTAATTTTCCTATTCATTGCAAGGTGAGAGTCATTTGGAGCAGTGTTACCACCTCGAGGTGAACATTTTAAAGCATCATTTATGCAACAACGAAAAGCGATTCTCTAACAAATTGATGAACAAGGTCAGTACACTTTTAAACTTAAATGTTACAGTTAATGTCCCTGATGGTGGTTACCCAATAGACCAGAACATACCAAGAATGACCCCAAAAATGTTACGCAATTCGGAGTCTAGGTCACAAATATTCATTTCCTTGCAATGATCAACAACATAATACACAGATAATTAAAAAAGGAACCAATCTTTACACATAATATACATTTTAGTTTGTTGTAACAATAACTAAAAAAATAGATTTTCGATCATTTTTTAATATACAGAGTTATGGCGAATGTAGTGTATATAGTTTTTGAGAAATCCTTTAAGGATGTTTGGGAGGTACAATCGGAGACAAGAGTACATAAAATTATAAATTTGTGATTAATAAGGTTTTGCAGCATATCATGAGGTAAATAAATACCACCTATACTAAAAAAAAGTATACGGTTTGAGAGAAAATTTGGAATTTGACCAAAAACTTTGAATAAAATAAGAAATAACGAATAATATGGAAAATTTTTAACTGACTTTTGGCAGTGAATATGCCTTGATTTCAACTTCGAAACAAAAAAATATTT